AACTTTACCTACTCAGGTCCAAAGCAGGTGGACATACCAATATGGAATAAATTTGGAATACTATGGAATTTAGTATTAGCAAAATGTCAGGTACTGGACATACCAATACGGAATAAATGAATTTAGTATTAGCAAAATGTCAGGTATTTAAGTGGATTCTCTTGGAAAAAAAAAAACAAAAAAACAAAAACAAAACAAACAAACAAAAACCCCAAAACGCAAAAAGCTAAAATCCAAAAAGCTAAAATCTGCACTAAAATCCAAGTACTAAGACTTCATGTACTCTGTTGGCTCTTTGGCCATGACAGCTCCAGACAGCATGGGCGCTATGGTCCATATTCCTCCCGTCCCAGCCTTGAGGCTGCAGCTGCACGAGTGCCGACACGGACATTTTGCTGCTCCGCGCCGCGCGGCCCTGGACCGCACTGCTGAGAACTGGAGCATGCAGCTCAGGGCTGCTTCCTCCATCAGCCTCGCAGCTCTGTTCGGCCTAGATTCCTCTCCTCAGGCTCACCCCTGAGAGACTCTTGGAATCAGACGCGCAAAAAAGTCTGCACTGAACCCTAGGATCAAGCTAATATTTTGAACAACAACATTTTGTTAAAGCTGATCTGAAGAGATCGCTCCATTTTGGAAATAAGCCCAAATCTTGGGCCATTACCCTTATACTACAGCCCACAAGAACTTCTAAGGAAATCTGAGTTTTGTAATTAGCAAAAGTCACCATCATCCTTTCCACTAAAACACAAGAGAAATGCTAGCATGTAATATGCTACACTCAGGCCAAATAACAAATCTTTGTGAGCAAGTTCAAAGAAACCATAAAGAGAAAAGAGCTGACATGCACACAAAAGTTATCTTATAACACGGTGCTTAAGAATATTTTTATGAAGAATGGGGCTGCTTTGATATTTTGTTCCCCCTCCCCCCAAATTCAGTGTTATTAACTGCAAAGGTCCCAGCTAAATTTGTATCAGCACAGAGCACAGGGAGCAGCATTAGTCCAAGAGGCAACCTCAGACAAACATCGACCCAGAAAAACGAGCATCCCCGAGTTTAAGTGCCGAGTTATCCTCGTTTCCGAGTCATTCCCTTGTGCCTGGCGTCCACAGGGTGCCCTGCGTGCGGCTCCCGCAGCAGCGCCGGCTCGGGCAGCGCCCGGAGCGGAGCCTCGGCCGTGCCGCGTGCTCCGCGCTCGGCCGTCATTCACCCGCGCAAGAAGCCGTGGTTAAAGGAGCAATAAAGGAGCGTCTCGGAAGCGGGAAGCGCAGAAAGCGGCGCCCTGGGAAGGAGGAGGAGGAGATGCTTCAAAACAGACTGCGGGAGGACAATAAAAGCTAAAGAGCATTAAACGGCAGCTCGGAGCTGAAAGGTAAAGCAGCCAAGTACTGCAGAAACGAAGCACAGAAGGGGCAGCGCCGCATGTTACGCTGATGCGTTTGTACCTCTCAGGATAATTCAGCCCTTCTATTACAGACTCGTTTTCAAAGAAAACAGAACAACTAGGCAGCTAAACCAGAGGCTTGTTGTGCCCAGAAAGAAGCAGCAGACTGATACAATCAATAGTAGTTTGCCTTGAATCAGACCTAAGGACACTAAAACAGCATAACTAGCACCACTGCACGTTAGGTAATATTGCAACTCTGCTAATAGCAACCAGCTACTGCAATACAGCCAAGTGTAATTACATAAAAAAGCAGAACTGCAAAGGGGTAAATGGAGACTGGTGCTACAGCTGCTTGAGAAAGGCATATTAAAAAAATACATGTGCAAGCAACAACATCTGCAAGCAAAGATGCAGAGCAGGCAGGACAGATGCATGCCTGGGAAACCAAAGTAATCCTGCAGGAAAAGCAGGAGATGTATTTGCTGGAACCAGAATAAGCCAAAGGATGCCTGTCCAGGGTTCACCTCAGGACCCCTCCCCAACACAGTCTTTTAAACACTCCCATCATAGTGATTGCTAACTTCCTAATTTATTTTTATATACTTATACATGTAAATGTGTATGGTCTGACATTTCACATTTGTGCTTCCAGATACTATGTTGAAGCAACAAGGCAGGACACCTGTGAGTTTTGCATACAGTGACTTGAAACTAACTTATTTTTAGCCTAAGAAGTTATTAAAAAATGAGCATTTCATTGAATTATTTTCTTTTCAATTAAAAACAAACTTCACATCAAAAGGAAATTAAAATTCTGATTATTGCCCTCTCCCCCTAATCAATATTGGAACAACAGCCAGGAAGAGACTCTTGTCTCCTACACAGTCTAGAGATTCAGCCTGAACTGCCTAAAACTGGGAAGGAAAGAAGGAGGGGAAAACAATTCCTACCAGCAAATGCCAACATGCAAATACCAGCAAACACCAAAATGCAGATATGGGAGAAGAATCTACTACAAGTAAGTGAAAAGTGAAAAACAAAAGTTGCCAAACTCCCTTTCCTAATAAAAGCTGGCGCTGTCAGCAGCAACTCTGCCTATGGAGCAGCTCTGCTCGTGAGATGAATAAACTGATGGCAAGAAAAAAACTAACACGCAGGGCTGCGCAAAGAGGTAGCGCAAGAGCGGACAGTGCGTCGCATCAAGGGCAGAGCTATAAAATAAAGGCTCAACTATCAAGTCAGCCAAAAGGCCTCATTCATTTCTGCGGCTTGTCATAGGAATTTAGAGGAAATGCCAGTTATACAAAAGGTGAAAGAATTACAGGGCAATTCTCAAAGTCTTGAATGATTCTGCAGGCCTCAATTTTAGTAAAACTGAATATCAGAAAAACAAGACATGATCATCATCATTTCAGTTAATATTCTTCCAATATAACTTGTCATGAAGTCTTAAGAGGTGAGTAATTTCAAAAAAAAAAAAAAGAAGAAAACTCAATCCCAAAGCTTCTTTGGACTTGTTTTTTCTTAGAACACAACTCTGTGAGAGGATGCTTGCTAATATCTTAATGCTTGACTATGCAAAACTTACAGAAAACCTTGAACTAACAGCTGATATTGCACAGCATCCAAAAATCAGAGCTCATGCAAAGCAATCTTTTGCCATCAAAACACATACATATTGCCTGAGATTTTACCACAAAAAAATAGAAAATAAGATGATCTTACTTTGTAATTGAACTGTCTAGTTTCCTCAGTAAGCACAAAATCAGAAATTTAAAATAAAAGCACGAGGGCTCTGTTTCTGGGGAAGCTAATACTATGATAAAGATTCATTTTCAAATATCGCAAGGAATTCCTTTTCTACCAAGGACTGGTAAAATGGCACAATCTCAGAACTGACATATTTCAGATACTCCTGCATCCAAGAGCAGCTTCATATGAAAACAGATTGTCAAGTATCAGTAAAGACTTAATTTAGATGGGAATCAAGAGTATCCATTCTTATCTTGGGCAACGAACTACACAGTGACAACTGGTCCAGACTGAACAGACCCAACATTTTCATATTTTGCAGTTCTTAATAATAAATACCAAATTAAGGGTGTCAAAACTTAAATCTCTAGTAGCAGCAGATCCTCTCCACAGAAGCAGCAATTAACACTGCTTCACACCCCAATATTTTTTGGCCCAAATTAGCTCGTAAGCCTTTGAAATTCATAATTCCTTTCTGCTCTCTTTTTGGAAATTTCAGGCTTGCACCTTCTTCCAGCCTCCCCTCAGGATAGGCCTGACACACTGTGCACAACCTGGCACAGCAAACCTGACTTCCCAGAAGAGTCTAATTCAAACACAGCATCTCGGAGGCGGTGGCAATCAAGCAATTAAAACCAGTGTAAGAGTCAGTGCTACAAGCAGCCCAGCTTCTCTTGATCTATATTCTGTTTATAGCTATGCAGGCAAGCAAGACCATTCTATTACCCTGTCCACTTTTGTCACCTTCATTTTCCTTTACACTTCATTTTCTAGAATAAAATAACTTTCCACTCCATTAATGAGAGAGGGCAGCCTGGAGGTATTCACATTTCTGCTCACTGATATTCTCAGGAGCGCGTGGCACAGCTTGGCGCTCCCCAACGGCGCAGGCAGAACGGCGAGATGACGGCACGCTCCCGTGAGCGGGGACGCTTGCTCCTGTAAACAGCATCACAAGGGCTAATTGCAATTTCTGGGAGATCAGCTCTGCTATTTAAAGCACTAGTTAAATACGCTGAGCACTCCATATCCCAGCTGGCAGCAAAACAGAACATCCAGAACTGCAGTTTGTCAGAAATTCATTCACTCATTTATTTGGCAGGCCTAAGCGCTGCACCTTTCAGGTTATATGCACCTGTTTGCCCTTCCGGGCATCAAGCTGTTAACATGTACAGAAGAGATTAAAATGAGCTTGCATACTGGAGGAAATATAAATTAAAACTACTGTACTGTCAGTCTTGAATCTGCTATTGTTTTGCAAGATCTCCCAAAACGCATCATTTCAAATGAGTCGCTGTTTATTACTTCAGGAACAGCAGAATGCATATTTTATCAGCAACACACAGTCAATACACCTTATAAGCAAGTTCCCTGGAGTCTGTGAGTAAAATATTTTATATTAATATCACTAGGTGTATGCATAAGAACCATCAAGATGAATAATAGTTTTTAAATGGGACAGGTGAACAGAGAGAGGTCTAACTGTCCATCTTCCAACAGAGAGTGAATCAGGGACTTGCAAGACATCTGAATGCAAGAGCTCCCCATGTTGTGGAAGCAGAAAAGCATTCTTGACACTAAGCCAGTTCAAAACTCTCCTTATTGGCCAAATGCTTTTGTGTTTTTCTGCCTCCTGGGCAATTCGCTTTTTGTGCATATGAACACATAACCCTCAGTGCACTGGCATAGTCAGATATAGGTCCATTTCAAACACCGAAAACCTTATCACCTCTCAGTCTTGTTCCCCAACACAGTTAAGTGGCTACTTAGTTATCACATAAAATGTTTGACTTGGTTCAAAGGCCCCCCTGTACTTCAGACAGCCACACGGACACCCTCCTACCCGTGGCTGACCACACGACCTACCTGGTTTCCAGCGGCACGTTGCTGTTGAGCACCCAGCTGTCCTGGAGCTGCACGGACTCGGGGGTGGTGGCCAGGTCGTTGGGTGCCGGGGCCGGCGCGTGGATCTGGGGCCTGCGGTTGGTGAGGGAATTCCTGTTGAGCGAGTTGGCGGATGAGTGATGATGGGACAGGGAATGGTTGTGAGGAGGAGGGAGAGGTGGCCTCAGCGTTGACTGGCTGTGGTGATTTGGAGGGCCTAAAACAGAAAAGAAAAATAAATCACAAACGTGTGTTGATGACATTACTCGTCTCCACACTTCTGGTAGACCATCTAGTGAAAAACAAAAACCAACAAGGACCCAAAGGCCAGCTCTCACCAGGAGACCAAGCCTGCTGCCTGCTGTTAAGCCATGGTAGAGTGGGGTCAGAGACAATAAAGCAGTTATTTAGAGTAGATATACTTAGGATGCTCAGAAAGGTTACATTTGGATTTAAAAATAGTTACCCTGTACAGACCAGCTCTGGAGACATGTTCCTCTCGGGAGCTACGAGCCCAGGAGCCCAACCTGGCTGGGCTGCGCATACGCGCGGAGTGTCTCACTGCGGCCGCCGGCGAGGCGGAGCAGCCCCGCTGCCCCGGGACGGGCGCTCTGAACACAGCCTGCAGCCTGCACACAACTCCAGAGATCTCCATCTGCCTTCCCTCACTGCTATTTTGCCAGTCAGCATCAAATGATGAGCTGCATTTGCGCCAGCAAAAGAAGATTAAGCTCCAAATACGAAAAGATAGCCACAACACAAGGATGGCGCTTTCATGTTCATCAGCACAACCAGGATTCAGCTGGTATGTTTCTACTTAGGAAAGGCACAAACGCACATCAAACCTTGCAAACAGGGCTACTCTTTCAGTTCTTTCGCAGAAAAATGATAAACAATATTTTGGAGAGATAAGGAGGGAGGATTCACACTTTCCTCCCTCTGCAGTACTGATGTGTTTGCCTGGATAATAAAATAGAAAATGTGCAACCACCTTAAGTGAAAAAACACATGAGAAAAGGAGAGGTACAATGAACAGATACCCTTCTAGCACAGCTACTTTGCTTAAAGGAAATAAAAAAATATATAGAATGATAAATACGTTTAAGTGTAATTCTATATGTTGTGATAATTTAATTTTAATAGAAATAGAAAAAGAGATTAAAGAAAAATGCTAAGCGGATTATTAACTGCTTGCTTCAGTCATTATGTTAAGTTGTAGTCTTCTGCTGAACAATAATTAGAAAAAGTAACATTAGCTAATTACAATTATAATGATGTATGTATGTTTTTAGAGGCTCTGAAGCACATTTTGCATTTAATGAATCAAACAATAAAAGAAAACATCACAAAGGGGAAAATGTTTGCAGCAAGACTGATCTGTTTTCATATGATACACTGAAATACAGAAAAAAAAATGCTGAACTGCTCAATTAACTGTAAGTTAATTAAGGCCAATGGCTTTTCAAAAACACAGGGCCCCATGGGGCCGGGAGCACCCAGCCGGGCCGGTGCCTGTGAGCGGGCTGGGGCGGCCTGGGCTCGGGGACCAGCCCGTCGGGGGAGCGGGGACGGCACCGCACGGGGGTCTCTGCGGGCCTGGACAAGCACCGCGAGGTCAGGAGGAGCCCTCAGGAGCTACCGGGACTCTCAAGACATGGAAAAGTCATAGTGATAATAAAAACAGTTTCTGTGAACTGTACGTGTGGCTTTAAATCCGCACCAAAAGAACTTCCTTGAAAATGGACCTCCCAAACAGGGAGGCTACACTTTTAAATGAAGAGAAGCCTTTCATGAACACGGACCAAATTCCAGATTCCTCCTATCTGCTGCTCACCTTAGCTACTAGCTTAGCCTTGGATATCTATAAAATATTTCCTGTTTCGTATATAAGCTTGAAAGAGCTAGCTTAGCCCAGCAAGCTTTACGCTTAAGCCCCCACGTGGCCCTCCTAGCACATCAAATGCCCGATCCAGGAGGTCCTATGCCACCTCCCAGCACGTGCCGAGTCAGCCACAGCAGGAAGAAAATGTGTTTGGACAATATCCACATGCACAGAAGCTTAAGTGGAATTACTCTCCTAAAGCCCCTACCCTGGCCTGAAACAAAACATGCTGGGTTTGGATTCACTAACTGGGCAGTTGTGAGGAATAAAATGCACCCGCGCTATGAAGCACTCAGAGGATTCGCGTGCTTGATGCTTTCACTACTCGAGTCACTTTTGATGCAGCTTCTCTTTTGGGAAGATAAATAAGGACAAGTCACAACTTAGAGAGAAACAGCCGTGCCAGCTCTATGCAGGCTCCGAACCTTGCAACCACAAAACCAAAAAGGCTGTTGGTAAAAGGGAACCAACCACAGAGCGATAAGAACAAACAGGATTTTTGTAAAACTAAGGAGGCACAAACTGATTCTAGTTGCTAAGAATTATTTTGAAGTACCTCAGTACTCAAAATTCTACAAGCTTTTTCATAAGTCTATTTTAAATGAACAAAAAGCAGGAATCTGAACACCACTGAAAATGCCAGGGATATAAAATAGGTTCCCATCTGAACATTTGCACCTCTTCTTTACAAGTATGCATGTCTAAGTTAGTGACCTCAGCAAGCACTATGTGCTAATCTGTTCATCTCAAAAGTTCAGACAAGTAAACCCCTTGTCCTCTTATCAGAGCCTTGTTTCAATGCTGGTGCTTGGTGACTGGGGACTTGCCAGGGACCTCAGTGGAACAGCTACATCCGTAATCGCTCCGTGCTCTCGCCAACACGCAGCCAAATGCTACTGCGCAGTCATTTTTGCAGTTCAAATATTGCACAGAGAAAAACTAACAGCCACACCTGCTTGGACACCCTCCAATTATTCTCTGAGACCTTCCAACACTTCTGTCCGCTCACTTTACGCACGCATGAAGCCTGTGCGACACAAAGTCTGGGGGGAACCAGCTCATCTCCCACCTCCGAGCTTAACTTCAAACAGCATCGGCAGCATCTCTAATCTAAGCAGAGCAATCTCCTTCCCTGCATCCAAGCTCTTTGTCAACGCTGCTTTGAAAAGGAAATGCCGATTCTATCTTGTGCAGAATTATTCTCCTTGCCACGATTAAATGCTAGAGAGACATGTAAACACCTCCTCAACAATCCTCTCCACAAAAGAATTAAGAAACAAATATATATTTTTAAATACATTATTTTTCTGTAATGAATAAGGATGCAACTATTTCCTTATGCATATAAACAAGTATCAAACATAAACAGATAATTAAACCAATGCATTGAAAAAAATCAAATAAACGAAGTAAGATCATAGAAAATGCCAGTTACCCATTACAAGGGCCCTAGTCTGCAGAGCTGCTCGATCTATATTCAGGTACAGCTACCACCAGCATTTTCCTCAAGTAAACCACATTGTCTACAGCACGGCCAGTATCAGCATTTCACAGGACCAAGGAATCACCCTCAGCTCGTTTCCAAGTCAGACGGCACTGCTCAGTGTTGGGAAGAAAAGGAAGCACCCAGGCATTCAATGCAGGATCGCAAGCAGCTGTGACCTCCGTGGCCAACTTGCACCCTGGAGCCTCACTCTGAATTCAGGTTTGGAGGTGGTTTCTAGTGGAGTCCTGCATGGAGGGAAGGTTTCCTAGCCAGTAACGCGAATCTTGTTTTTATGCTAATTCATTTCTTGTGTTTGAATCCCCCAATTATTTTGTGCAAGGCCAAAGCTGAAATTAAATTCTGAAAATGTTTTCAGTGCAGGCTGTAAAGAACAGAGTTATCTGGCTCATAAGCGTAGATACCATCACCTCTCTTCCTGCTGTAAAACATTTGCCGGGGCCTGCTCTTCTTTTGTTCACAAGTTTTGACAGCATTTTCAGGCATGCACAAGTTGAGTGGCTGGCACTCATGCCAATCTGAATACTTCAGACAGAAGATTCAGGGAATGTGTGCTGCACGTTCTGCATCACAGATCTCTCTCTGCCAGTGTTTTTAATTTGTTATCAGTTACAAGAGAAAAATAAAGTCACAAAACATGGGGCAAAAACAAGTCCTATAAAAGCCGCCTGATTTTTTACGGTACTGGGGGGTTAAAGCGTAGAAATAAAGACCCCATAAAGTGGCATAGCAAAGCTTTCACGTGGTTTATAGCACAGCAACAAATAAACCAACATTAAGGTCAAAAAGCAACCACAGCCTTGACCTCGGCAGCTCCAAAACGTAGCGCGAGCCAAGATGCAGTGAACGCCAACAGGCACTGCCCGAGGGAACGGGGACGCCCGCGTGGGGACAGCCACACAGAGGAAATCCAGCTCAGGCCACCACCGGGCACCAGGTGAGCCAGCTCAATAAAACTAAGTGCTCTGCTATCTAATACCTCACAGACAGTTAATTTTTACACAAGTAGTACACCTCAGCGCAGCGCCATTTTGTGAGCCCGAAGAGGCCTTAGGGAACACGGCTCCTTCTCCCTCCTGCCCCTTAATTTTTGTTTTAAAATAGACCTGCCTGATCAGTGAAATGAAAGCACTGTCGCTGCTCATCTGCAGGGACTCTGTCACTTTCTCATCCCACATCCTCCTCCTCTGCCCTTGATATTATAACTACAGGGCAACTGCAAGCTTGGGGCTGCCACAGAGCACATGCATGAGCATTATTTCACCATCATAGAAAAGGCAATATTTACATATGAGAATTTAACACCGGAAGAGATTGTTCGGTGCCAGTGGCAGACATCCTACTGCTGCAGCTGTCCAGCTGTGCTGGAATAAGGAGAATACCTGAAACGCAGAGCAGGGCCTGGCAGGGCTGCTGGCTCCGGGGTCAACGGCAGCACCAACACCACGATGCCGCCTCTAGCTATAGGACTGGTGCTCCTAAGAGAACCGTTTCATCAAACGTATCAGCTGAGCATGTTCTTCACATGACCTTCTTTGTTTGGAGGCTGCGATTTTATTTTTCATAGAAGAACAAAAATTCAGAGCCACACAAGCAAGGAGCCAGGGGGACATGTTCATCACTTAGGCTGATATGATAGAGCTTTCCTGCAAAGCCCTTGATCAACCTAATCTCGGAAGCAATATTCAGACGCAGAGAAATCAAGCTTACAAAATTCCAAAATCAAGAACATTTCCTTCATTCCCCAAACACCCCTACTATTTACAGTTACTTGCACCAAACCACTGCCAGTGAGTCAGAGCTATCCGTAGTTTCAGGCAGAGAGATATTT